ATGGAAACCTTTTGAGCCCACAGTTCTTGACCTGGGATCTCTCAATGTCGTGCCATGCGTTCCTCCCTAATGTTGAAGAAGACGGCGTGGGCAAGGCTCCTCGCGGGGCTCCTCATCCTCTCGGATGTTAGAGGGAGTGGTGAAGATCCAGAGGAGTGGTGAAGGTTTAGTTAGGCCTTCATCCAGCTTCTACGCTTCATGAGATGTCCATGAAAGGACCGCTTTGATACCTAGAGGCAGGTGAATAGGCTCTATAAATTTTTATGACAAAAGTTAGCACATAAAATCTTCACAACACAGGAAAACCTGATCAGATCGAGACCACAACCCGATCAGGCCGACTCTAGGTCAGACCAGGATCACAACTAGGTCAGACCAGGATTGTCAATACTTCCGGTAGCTATTGGAAGTTCCGACACTTCTGCACCCCAAAGTGCTTTGAGCCTTTTGCCCCTTATATGTAGATGGAACTAGGAGTATGGGAATGCTTATAGATGTGTGAACTCTTTCACACGGCTCCTGCAAACACAAATCACCACACCTTAGTAGCACAAGCGGAATCAAAAGTAATATATGCATGTAAACAAGTGTGAGGCAAACCAAAGGGAAGACGCGAGGATTTGTTTGACCAGAGTTCGGAACACCCAAAGGTTCCCTATGTCTCCATTGTGGAAGCTGGTGAGGACCCAACCAAGGTCAACTCGTGGCTAGACCTAAAATGGTCCCTTTCCACCAATTCTACTAAGTGGTCTTCTTTCATATTTTAGCGGGGAGACTAGCCCTTCTTACAAGGCCACCACAGCAGCCCACACACCCTCGGGTGCTTGCCGGTGACACTTTGCCACGTAGGAACAAAGATCCAAGAGAAACAAATGCAACGAACTGGAATTCTTCGACTTGTTCAAGTGCTCAAGATTGGGATAGCTCTCACAATGTCTCTCAAGCTCTCTAATGCCACCAAGGCAAGCTCACAAAGATTGGCTCACTCTCTAATCAAAGATTATGGAAGTTGGGAGCTAGAACACTCACAAAGAGGAAGAGAGGAGTGCCAAAAGGATTCTGGTCCTGTGTGACAATGGGGAGAATCAGCAGCAACAAATGGAGGAGTGGGAGAGGTATAAATAGTCACCAAAGCCAAACTAGCCGTTGGACTGAGTCAGCAAATCCGGTCTGACCGGGATGAAAACCCGGTCTGACCGAGATTCAAACTGAACTAGCCATTGGGCTAAAGTCGGTCTGGCCAGGATGAAACCCGGCCTGACCTACTCCCGGCCTAACTAGGATGGCAACCTGGTCTGACCTAGTTTGGCTGTGGCTGGGCACAAAGAGAAGGCTCACTCTCACTCTTTTTTTCTCTCAAGTCTTTTCTCATGTAGGATAACATGAGCACTATTTTTGCTTGTCTAAAACTCAGTGATGCGTCCCTCTTGAGTGTGGCTAAACTCAACTCAAATAAATATAAAAAGATTTGAACAACCAATTGAGCTTATCTTCAACTTAGACTTGATTGCCACTTTGATCCTGCAATGTTGAGGGTCTTCATCACTTCAACTTCTTGAGCTTGTCCATCTTGAGCATGTGACTTGCGTCGAAGGTTTCAAGTCACAATGAACATTTGATTTGATCTTCCACAATGACAAACACCACTTGATTTGTACCTTGACTAAATGCAAGTAAATTCCTTCTTCACTTTTAGCTAGGTCCATCGGCCGTCAAGCCGTCGCTTGCCCTTCACCTTTCGCTTAGTACCTCAAAGAGATTTCCTTGCTATCTTCACCTTATCAAGATTAACATGTCTTGTCAATGCTTCTAACCAAGATATAAATATCATTTCATTTGCATTATTGTCTTGTTCTTGAATTAGATTGTTTCCAATAATCCTCACAAGCTTGACAACATTTGTTCTTGCAAGCTTTATAGTTGAGACCATTCCATATGCAACACTGTCTCATTTTTTTGATATCACACTTGCTTGCAAAACCATGCTTCACAAGAAATCTTGAACTCAATTTGACATTTATATGATCACCACACATTATATGAGTCCAACACATAATAATTCACCTGGGACTAAATACCTGCAAGTCTCATAAATATTATTAGTCCTTTAATCGTGTTGTCATTCAATGCGCCAAAACCCACAAGGGCCTAGATGCACTTTCAATCTCCTCATTTTTGGTGATCGATGACAACCCCAATTAAAGCTTACAAATGATATATATAAAAATTTAGCTTTTGGGTTCAATGATTTATGAGAGGCTCCTCCTTGATATGTGCATATGAATGACATTCAGAAAGTGGCCTCAAATGCCAATTTTGCACATATCAAAACAAATAGGAGACTCCCTCTAAATCATTGCATCCATGGGGTACAACAAATGTGTGATAGAAAATAATAAACCATAATGCATATGACAAATATATCACACAACAAATAAATATAAGATCATACACCATCACAAGACATATATATCACACTAACATGCAACCCTTAGATAAATAACATGGAGTTCAATCACACAAAGTAGCACACAATACAAATATTCCCAAGTCCACGCGATAGATAAAATGCTAGATTATCATATGTCCAAAGTCATAATCTCTCACAAGAATATTACAATGAAGCTCAATGTCTCAAATCTCACAGAAAAGTCATCCTAATCAGTATACAAGATAAACATGAAAAACTTTAATCAATATAAGATCATACACCATCACAAGACATATATATCACACTAACAAGCAACCCTTAGATAAATAACATGGAGTTCAATCACACAAAGTAGCACACAATACAAATATTCCCAAGTCCACGGGATAGAAAAAATGATAGATTATCATATGTCCAAAGTCATAATCTCTCACAAGAATATTACAATGAAGCTCATCTCTCACAAGAATATTACAATGAAGCTCAATGTCTAAAATTTCACAGAAACTCATCCAAATCAGCATACAAGATAAACATGAAAAGCTTTAATTTGCCTTCTTTCTCCCCCTTTGTCATCACATCATCAAAAAAGAGAAGAACGGAAACTGATTTGGAGAACTCATTACATCAATCACTCAACACCATTGCCCCTAGTGGACGATGGATCTACAAGAAAAGTGCCACCACTGTCACTGTCAAGCTGCCAATATGTAGTCGAGCCCAACTGAGTCTGAGTGTCAAAAAAGGTATGAGTAGCAAAGCCACTAGACAAATTGGGTAAGTGTTAGAGATATGGGCCAGGGGTACCTGCACCGCTCGTATATATGACCACCACCAAGCTATCGGCCCAGCAGCCGTCAAGGAGGAGGCCCATAAGGGCTAAAGTGATCAACCAACGAGGAGATCAAGGCAAACCAAGGCGGATGTATCTAAACGATAGCTAGGATCAATCTGTTATAACAAACTAGGAAACAATTTGTTAGCCCGATCGCCTCTCTCTAAACCCTACCTCTCCTGCCTATATAAAAGAGGGTAGGGACCTCGGGCACGGGATCCATCTTCCACCTATTCCATCTACATGTAGCTAGGAGCAATAGCCCCTGTAATTGAGCATACGAATACAAGAGCAACCGCACCACTGGAATAGGGATTAGCGCGCACCGCGTCCCAATATAAATCTCTGTGTCTCGTGTGCTACCATCTGATTCCGTCTACGTGATCACGTTGCTAGATATTGCCAAAGCAAAATAATCCGACAATAAGGTGCTTAAGATAGAATCTGCAGCTGTATGAGCAAATCTCTCTGAAGCTGGCATTGCAGTGCAGGTAGGTGCTGAAGCAAACACTGGAGGAGATGTATACAGACCTGCTAACAGTGTTGGCACATAGCATAGGACATGGACGACTTGGTCCCGTAGTGCTGTGTGAAGTAGTCCTGCTGCTGCAACTGCTCAATGTAATTGTCCAAAGGTGGCGGTGGAGGAGAAGCTGGTGCAACTGGAATAGGTGGAGGAGCTGGAGCATTAGGCAACATGTGACTACTCTCTCTTGCTCTCACCCTCTCCTGGTGTGCCCTCTCATTTAAGTCTCTGACTTTCTTGCACAACCCAAATATGATGTTATACATTTTCTTAATGGGACAAGGTCGCTTGTCTCCACGCCTCAAAGACCTCTACCTCTTACTACCCAGCTGCTCTTTGGAGGGTGCACTAGAAGTCCCAACTAAAAATGGATCTGCAGAAGAAGATGCTCCTGGGACTCTAGGCGCAATGGGATTCTTCTTACACTTAATCCTCAAAGGTTCATGCACAACTTCCTTCTCATATTTCTTATTTGTGACAGACTCAATCATATGCATTATGTAAGGTGCATAGCCACAGTTTTTCATGGAAAACTAAGAAATGGACTTGATTTCTTCCCATACAAAGTTGAAGACACTGAAAGGCTCAGCTCTTGGATCCAATCTAACAAGCAAATTCTTTGCATAGTAAGTGATGCTTGTTGGATCTCCATCCTTAGGCATAAGGGTCTTCCTAACCATTCTGTTGAGGTAGGAGAAGGAATATAGACCATTTACCTTGCTACAGTTGCCTCTTGCATTTTCTGGATACATGAACTTCATTTGAGGAGCAGGGAGCTGAGGCTGACTATGAATCTTGAACTTCCTGAAATCTTTCCCTGCATATCCAAATAGCTTACCAAATGTGACAGTCAAGCATATACCACTTGTTTGGATCAGCACCTCTTTCCTCGACATACAAAGTGGCATAAAATTGAGCAATTATTTCATCATTACAATCATGTTTGAAGCCCACGATCTTTTTCACATTCTGCCTATCACATGTAGCTATCACCTCGTCAAACACAACATCCTTTTTCTCTGCCATGTACTCCCAATCAATCCACTGACTTCTGCTCACTTTGTCATCTTTGGTGAGTATCACCGTCTCATAAAAATCCTGTTGGAACATATTGTGAAATCTGTTATCCAAAGCAGTACGAGGAAGAGCTCGAGGATCTTGCTCTCTCACTTCTCTTACTGCCACTGTCATCCCCTTGGCTCTGTAGTTTATCTTTGGCCTATTGGGAGGTCCATGTGTGACTCTAAGCTTGAAAGCCTTAGGGGAGTGATATCATCCTGTGTCCGCTGTGTACCACCAAGATCTGTCTCTACCTCCTCTTCATAGTCATTGGCATCATCATCATGATCACTATTATCCTCATCTTCTGGCTTTGCTAGGCCTTTGTCTGGCCTGTGCTGAATCACATAATCATCATCATCAATGTGATCACTTTCAGTGGATGTGTCTCCCTCTTCATTTGTGTCTCTAGCTGCAGAAGAACCACTAATAGAAATACTTCTCTATGCTGCGGTGGCTCTCCTTGTCCTATGAGCAGGACCTGTCACAACTACCTCCTGAGCTGCTGGTGGAATAAGTGGACTAGCTGCCCCCTCTGTTGTGTCCTCTGCATCTGGATTTGACTCAAGTCTTGCTTTAGTCCTTCTCACAAAAGTATGCTTGAACTCCCTCAGCATACTGTCCCTGAGATCACAGAATATTTTTCAAACCAGCATAAGATCTCTGGCAAGATTTAGCATTGACAAACTTGGAGAGAATGTAAATTAGCACTAGAGAGACTTTCCTGTGGAAATACAACACGACTAGTTAAATAACTAAGTCAAGTTCATTTCAACAGGAATTTCTTTCCACTGCTAGTTCACGACAGAGAGACTGATTTGGCACTGATAAGTCTCTATTGGATGATAGATATGCAAGAATTTTAATTCACGCGTACTTATACTGAGTCTTGCAATATTCCATATGTACGCATGAATTAAGTCAAATATTGATTTAGCTTGACCATGAAATTGAAGACTATACTAGTGATTTAGAGGACTGCTAGCATCACACAGAAGCTAGAAACAATTTATCCACATCTCTAAATCAACCTAGCATATTGTTTCTTACGACCATGAACACAACATCTTTTCTAAATATTCACAGCAGGCAATGCAGCCATCCAATTCAAATTTCCTCTTAGGCATTGCATATAGGGCACATAAGAAATCTTTTCACCAAAGAAATTTGAGAGATTTTGCCTGAGCACATAGATCGCGCATTGAGCGCAGACTTGTACCTTGGGAGAGATGAGCGAGAACTTGGATAACTTAGGGCCACAAATCCCGGTCTAACCGACCGAGGGGACGGCCAGACCGAGAGCACGCTTGCTCCTTTGCCCTGGAGAGAGAGATCGAGGAAGGGGCTCCTTGCTTCTTCTTTTCACGGCGCCATGGGAGAGAGCAACAGAGCACACGGGCGAACTGGAGGAGGAGCTGTCGGAGTGAGAGAGGGAAGGTTAATTTCCTTTGCAGTAAATGCTTTCATCGCTGACAAGTGGGGCCTCCTGCCCAGCGAACTCGGTCTGACCGAGATGCCCTCTTGGCCTGGCCGATGGTTGGCCTGAGCCTTCCTACTCACGATCAGCCAAAACTACGTGCGCGTCTTCCTATCCAAATAATATGCATGCACACATGTCAGCTAAGGGCTCCCGTTCTTCTTTAATCACAGCGTGGAGGCATTTTTATTTCCTTTTCTTCCATCCCGTGAAAGTCCTTGCATGCAGAGCTAATGTTGGTTACTGCAATATGGATGGCCGAACCTCCTTCAGATGCCAAACAGAATCACGCACAGGCAGGCTGGGGCGGCCAAATCAGCTTGCCCAGTATATACACGTATATATATATATATATATATATATATATATATATATATATATATATATATATATATATATATATATATATATATATATATATATATATATTCTTCTTCTTCTCCAAATTATTTTAATTCTTTTATCCAATATTTCCAATCTCCAAATTTTATGATGATCCTCTGCAGACTTCTTCATCCAAGCTTTCCAATCAAACTTATTACTTTCTTAAATCCATATTTCATAAATTGAGAGATTTAGCACGAGAGATATGAGATTAAATCTAGATAAAGATTTGCGGACTTGAGATAGCCATGCCAATTGTGATTAGTCGATCAGTCAAACAAGGAGAACTATAATCACTTTTGACATGACTAGGTCACAAAGACCAAAACCAAATATTTTGAAAAACTCCTACACAAAGCAACATCTAGTTGGGTTTTCACAATTTCTATCTTATGTCACACAAATGCGCACACTAACATAAAAAGGGTCCTAGATGTATAACGGTATTTAATCTTTCAATGTAAACACGTACCTTTGCCTCTAGCAACATTGTATGCATTGAGATATTATAATAATTTGCATAAGCACAAATAACTTGAGAAACATATTCTCAATCCAATGAGACTACATCAAATTCTCAACAACCATATTAGTCTCACAATAACTAGCCATAGAGTGAGCGCCACCCCCCCCTAATAAGTGCTCTAAGCTTTTGAATTGCTCTTAAACACTAAAATTCTTTCAAGAACATGGGATGTCACTCTATGTCTAGATCATGGCAACAAGGACATAATCAAATGAAACTTGTGCCAAGGAATACTCACAAAGCTATTCACAAGACCATCCATATCAAATTCACCATGAAAGTACGTCTTGGAATAGGTCTCAAGTAGCACTTGATTTTCAATGTTGGGTGTCACACTTGAAACAGAACTTTTTCAACTAAAATTCTACAAGTATGCTCAAGTGAAAAAGTTAATAGCAAGGGCACTAGATATATAATGAGCTCCCCCTCAAGTAGTGCATTAAGTATTTGAATTACTTACATATGTACTTTAGTCAATTTCTTAACTTGGGAGACTCATTTTATATCTATTCCACAAATGAAGAGTATTGACAAGATTTACATTTAAAAGCAATACTCACAACCATTACCGAGGTGACATTGGGTGAAACATAAATTTGAACCAAATCTTGACTTGTCATGAATTTCAATTATTATCCAAAGTCAAGCCTCCAATGCACCTCTATGTACCTTTCTTGCCTACCAAGCTTGTTTTGGTACCCAATGCTTGTTGGGTCCATTCAAGTTAGACAACAAGTACTTAGGTACCCAAATGGCTCTAGTACTAGTTTGTGGTGAACACATCACCTTGCTAGTACTAACTCCATTTGTGGTCTTTCTTAAGCATATTAGTGTAAATCAATGTATTTGGTTTAGGAAAGTTACCTTTAGGACAATCCTTGCTTAGGTGTCCCTTTCTTCTACAAGTGTAGCATATGCAGCCACTGTTTGCCACATTCTTGTTTTGCTTGTTGGGACATCCACCAATCATGTGCCCCTTTTCATTGCACCCACAACATCTTCTTGTTGCAACTTGGGCCTTCTTTTTTGTCTCTTTATACTTTATGTTCAAGAAGCAATTCTTGATGGAATGTCCCAATCTCTTGCACTTGGACATTCACTTTTCACTTGATTGGTCAACTTGGTGGATGCCTTTTGTTCGGCCACTTCACATTTGTCGGCCCAACTCTTATGTGGACACATAGCACCTTCATGTCCATACATACCACAACCATAGCACATTTCGTTTCCATGTTTCTTGCTCTTGGTTGCTTTGTCATTGCTTGATGTATGATTCTTTTGTTGGGTGTTGGAGGAAGCAAGGTTTGAACCCTTCTCAAGCATCTTCAGCATGTTGTCACGGTTATTTTGATAAGGTTGTGCTTTCTCTTTACCCTTCAACCAAATCACATCCTTCTTTAGCTTTTCAACTTCTTCTTTGAGCTCATTGTTTTCTAAAATAGTATGCTCAATCAAAGATTGGCTTGCTTGAGAGACACACTTGTTAGCACAAGGAGTATTTAATTGAGATGGTGTACAAGTGTGTGTGTGTGTGTGTGTGTGTGTGTGTGTGAGTGTGAGGTTGGGATGATTTTACCGATGTGATTACAACCTCATGAGCCGCCTCAAGCATGAAATGAGATTCTACTAGTTTTTCATGTGAGCACTTGAGATGAACATAGTTGGCTTGTAGAACATTGTACTTGCTTGAGACCTCATCCAATTTGGCCTTGAGTTCTATGTTGTCCTTCTCTAGTTGAGTAACACTAGAAGAGGAGTCAGTAACTAAAGCATGTTCAAATGACAACTTTTGATACCTTTCGGTCATTGCCTTTAGCTCTTTCAACTTGGAAACGAGATATTCTTCTTGTCTTTCAAGTGATTGCTCTTGCTTCTCATTTTCCAATTCTAGCTCATCATTTTTCTCAACAAGCTTCATGAAGATGAGCTTGTCTTTGTTGCTAAGATGATCAAGAGTGTAGCTATCTTCAATCTCAACTTCATCTTCATCTTCATCTTTGTCCTTCACCTTCTTCTCCACCGACACTTTCTTTGGCTTCTTATTTTTTTCTCTTTGCCATAAGACAAGTGTGGGGGGAATGGTCACTGGTGGAAGCTGCTGTGAGGGTTGATTCTTTAGCTCGACGAAGATCCAAGTTGAGAACTTGGGCTGCTACATAGCTGGGCATGTCGGTCTGACCAGCATGCAATCCTGGTCTGACCAAGATGCCGGCCTGACCTGCATTGTAACCTGGTCTGATCGGGTTTGCCAGTCCAGCAACAATCAAGTCATGTTGTCTCCCAAGTTCTTCTCCTTTTTCTTCACAACAATGCAGTGCAGTGGTGATGGTGTTGGCCTTCTCATTGCCATGTGACTCATCACATTTGGATTGCCCAAACTTTTCACATAGCTTGGTCCAAATGAGATGAGCATCCTCGATGGGCTCACCATCACAAAGTATAATTTCATCAACTAAATCTGCACACATGGTTCTCAATAATACAATTATAACTTAACCATTGAGGTGCAAGCACTTTTCATTCAAAATGCTTGTACTCACAACACTCTCACAAATTAGGTCCACTGTATGTAAAATATTGAGAACATGTAATGACCAAGAATTGAAGTTTGAGCCATCCTTGTGGAGTAGCTCAAACGGTACCTCACAAGATGTAGGCATCAATTTTCATGGGCGGTTAAGCTTGAGTGTGAGACCTCGGCTCTGATACCACTTGAATGGACCACTTCGATACATAGAGGGGAGTGAATAGGCTCTATAAACTTTTACGACAAAAGTAACACATAAAACTTTACAACACAGGCAAAATCGGTCAGACCGGGTCACAACCTGGTCAGGCCGACTTTATTCAGACCGGGTCCACAACTAGGTCAGACCGGGATTGTCGGTACTTCCGGTAGCTGTCGGAAGTTCTGACACTTCTGCGCCCAAAAGTGCTTTGAGCATTTTTTCCCCTTATATATAGATGCAACTAGGAGTATGGCAATGCTTATAGATGTGTGAACGCTTTCACACAACTCCTGCAAACACAAATCACTACACCCGAGTAGCACAAGCAGAATCAAAAATAATATATGCAATGTAAACAAGTGTGAGGCAAACCAAAGGGGAGACGCGAGGATTTGTTTGACCAGAGTTCAGAACACCCAAAGGTGTCCTACATCTCCGTTGTGGAAGCCGGTGAGGACCCAACCAAGGTCAACTCGTGGCCAGACCCGAAATGGTTTCTTT